TTGACTCGAGGGCCACAATGGGTTCTTACACTGGACTGGAGGGCCGGAACAAAAGCATGGATGGAGTGTTTGTGTGAACTAATATAAATTCAAAGTAAACATCATTACATAAAAGGGTACGGTCTTTTTTTTTTTTTAGTTTTATTCATTTCAAACGGGCCGGATCCGGCCCACGGGCCGTAGTTTGCCCACGGCTGTTCTAGTCTGTTCTTCCTCTGAGCAATTTTAGGAAAAGTTAGAATCCTACCTCAGAAAAAGTTCCCCCCCCCCTTTTTTTTCACAACCATCTTTTGTTAGGTCTCATCAAATAATTGAATCGATACCCACTCCCCTGGGAACTGACCTTTATGCCATTTCATAATGGACATTCTAATTGCTTAGACCACATTCCACTTGCTAAAACTGTTATCTCTCCCCTCCAGAGTTTCCCAGAATCCAGACTTAAACAGAGAATTCCCCGCCCAGAAAAAGCCCACCTAGAGTCCTTTAAAAACCTCTGACTCCCGGTCTTTGGGTGATGGTGTCCTTTTGGGGCTCATCCCTTCTGGTATCAAGATGACCTAATCTATATATATAAAAGCCAAATGACTAGGATGCCAGTACAATTGGAACAACCAGTTGCTTTGATGCACACTGTGGCCCCGATCGGCCCCCCAACCACAATCGGGGGCAGGGCCAGCCAACCGCCTGTGTCCTCTCCCCCTGGCTGGCCCAGACCCCAGTCGGCCCTCCTCACCCCGATCGGGTGTGGGGCCGGCCGGCTGACCTCCCCCCAGCTGGCCCGGCCCCAATTGGTCCCAATCGGGGTGGGCCAGCTGGACCCCACCCATGCACAAATTTGTGCACCAGGCCTCTAGTAAATTCATAATTCTTTACCCTTTTTTGACCTCGTGCGTTCCTCCTTCTGTAATCCTAACATTTGGTGCGGAAACCTGGGAGGGTTCTATGGGGATAGGGAGCCATCGCCCCAGTCACCCTAAGTATGCTACTTGGACAGCAGCAGGCAGTGGCAGCTCAACCTGGGCTTATCTCCAAATCCTACTCCAGTGACTTGATTGCCAGCCTGGATTAGCCCTCCTTCCCGAGCCAGCCAAGGATTAAGCCGGATCGGGAACCTCTCCTTCTCCACTGCTGACCCTCCATCCCACACCAGCCAATCTTCTCTAGGTGAGTGACGATCCACAATTTCCCTCATCTGGAGTCTTCTGCCCTCTCTCTCTCACTGACTTCTCCAAAGTCTCTTATCTTAAAAGTCCTAGCGCTAGGCCAGAAGACTCCTCAGCCATTTGGCTTTGGGTCCTTCTGGATTGGGGGTGCCCAGTCCAAAGGGTCACTCTCATTTCTCATGGTGATTTGTTTAACTGGGGGGATGCCTGACCTAAAGAGTCACCTTTAGATTTGTGGTCTGTCCCTCACTCTTCCTCTCTCGTGGGCCACACTATACTCCCTCTGCACACTCACGGGAGAGATCATGCCCAACCACCTCATTTTCTTTTGTAACACTGTTTGGCCACAATATAAACTAGATAAGTCTCAATGGCCTAAAAATGGCGCTTTTAGTTTTAGCACATTGCACAATTTAGATAACTGCTGTCACTGCAATGGAAAATGGTCAGAGATTCCCTATGCCCAGACCATTTTCACTCTTCAGTCCCAATCCTCTTTCTCAGTTCTGCTCTGTCCATGAGATCTTTCTCCTTCACACAAAACATCATACCCCTAACACTTCTGATTCTGAAGCTACTTGTGACCCAGCAGACCACCAACCTCCATCTCCTAACACATCACTTCCCACATCTGCAGTAGATTCCCAAAACTCGGACCCTCCGAACCAGCAACCACCTTCTCCCCCAGCCCCTGAGAGCCCAAATCCCAAGAACTCGAGCTCCAATACAGCCTTTTCCCACCTTACACTTGCTCTCAGGCCACCCTAAGACTGCCTTCCTCAACAGCTGCTTCTACTCCTGCGCCCATTCTACCCCTGAGGGAGGGAGCAGGAACTGAGGGTACTGGCTGGGTACACATCCCATTTTCCATGTCTGACCTCGCACAGATTGAGAGGCATCTCAGGTCGTTTTCCACCGACCCGACCACCTTTACTCAGGAATTTAAGTACCGGACCCAGTCCCATGACCACCTGGCATGACATCTGAGTTACCCTGTCATCCTCTCTCACCCCAGAGGAGAAGGAGCACATCTGACTAGCAGCTCAGGACCATGCCGTGCCCTCTGTAGACAGGACTCGGTGGCCAAAGATGAAATTATCAGGTCAGTTCTCCAGGGCGCAGGCTCTGTGGTCTGTCTCATTGTCGGACTCAAAAAGGCCGCCATTAAGGTGGTCAATTATGACAAACTTAATGAAATCACTCAGCCCTGACGAAAACCCAGCTCTCCTCTCCAGCCTCACGGAGGCCTCACACACATTTACCACCTTCGAACGCACCTCCTCAGAGGGAGCCCTTCTTCTGAACAGCCGTTTTATATTCCAATCAGCCCCCAACACACACCATAAACTTCAAAAAGTAGACACAGGTCCACAAATGCCTCAAAAAGACCTCATTAACCTGATTGTTAAGGTCTTTAATAATAGAGACAAGGAGACCCAAATCCAAAAACAAAGGTGAGATCAGGCCAAGGTTGAGGTCCACGTGAAGGCCTTTCAGCTCCTAGCCACCACTCTCAAGTACCCCAGATAATGTACTGGTCCTCCAACCGAGGGTAAGTCAGGTGCTAAGCCTCTTCCGGGCCCCTGCTTCAAATGCAACAAGGAAGGACACTGGACCAAGTCCTCTCAAACCCGAGATCCCCAGCTGTGCCCTGCCCACGATGAAGAAGGGAAGGCCACTGGAAATCAGACCGCAATCTGGGCCCTCCACCAAGTAGGGAGAGATTCCATAAGAGAGGAAATAACAGAGCAGACAGGAGGCCGAGACAGTAGCTCAGAGGAAGCCTCCGTCTCCCCAACTCTTAGCTACACCCCATAAAACACCCAAATACTCTCCAGAGGAACTTCAGTCCCTAGTAGCTCTTGGGGCTATGCAGGAAGATCCATGGTTAAAATTTCAGGGAAAATATATCCTTCCCCAGGGACAGGCCTGTGATATCTTATGGGCTATTCACAATTCCCTACGTATAGGATACATTTACAACTCCTGCAACCCCTCATCACCTGTCCTAGCCTAGCCTTCCTACTGCAGGATGTCACCAAAACCTGTTCTACTTGTCACTCACGATCTCCCCAAGCACAGGTTAGATCAGACCTCCTTCTTTCCCCACTCATCAGGCAAGGGGCCAAATCCCTGCACAAGACTGGCAAACTGACTTCATTCGCATACCTATAAAAAAACAAAACAAACATCTCTTAACCCTCGTAGATATTTTCTCAGGCTGGGTAGAAGCATTCCCCACTGCTTCTGAAAATTCCATCAGGGTCACACAAGCTCCCATTCAGCACATCATTCCCAGATTTGGGCTCCCCACCTCATTACAATCAGATAAAGGACCTGCTTTCATATCTCAAATAACTCAACAGGTCTCCTCCACTCTGAACATCCTGTGGAACTTACACACCCCCACCTGCCCCAAACAAGGTAGAAAAAGGAAAATTCCTTCATTAAGTCTTGAAGTATGGTAGCAATCATCTCAGGTAGAAACTGTAGTTTAACTCTAACCCTGCTGTTTGGTTTCTGTACTGTTACAGTTAAGCCCCTCTTGTAAAATAAAATAAAGGCAACTGGCTGACATAGAATGAGGAAGAAGGTCACGCTCCAGTCAGGTGAGACCGAGCTCCACAAGGCTAGCACAATGCTTCCTCTTGCAGCTTCTTAGGCAAACAGAGCAAGGCTCCCTGCTGTGGTTTTTCCAGTATGTACTCTGTATCCCGGGTAACTTTGTGTGTGTTTAGCCAACCGTTTTGTGGTTTCTGTGAATAAAAAGCTGGCCTAGAACCAGGGTCGCCCCACCATATCCGACTCAAGAGGGCATTTCAGATAATCCCTCTCCTCATGACCCTGGACATCACAGCAGAGGATGGAACTGGCACAGGGGGCCTAACCACTGCTCTATCCTGTTTTGAAATCCTGTCTCAGGACCTACAAGAAAGCTCTGGATGCCAGCAAGGGGCAAAACTGGGAAACAAGAACCTCGCCCCCAGGGTACCTCCCCTCTTCTAGCAAATAACTCGTCAGGCAACTAAGACCCCTGACTTTTTCCTCCCTAAAGATCACATCAGGCCTCAGGTATTTCAGCTCCAGGCCCAGAAAAGCAGCAAAACCAGACAAGTGACGCTGTGGCAGCCTCGGGACCAGCTTCTGCCTCTCAAGTCCCCTTCCAGGTGGCCTAATAAATCCATGATTCTTCTCCCTTTTTGGCCCCGTGTGTCCCTCCCCGCGGCCCTAACATCCATGTCCCCAGCGTCCTGAGAATGAAGGTAAAACTCCTCGTGCAAAACTTCACCTCGTCTCTCTGTTGCCTTTACACCCACAACAGGCGGGGTTTCCCGAGTCCTCCCTGCCCAGTCGCACCATCACGTCCTTACAAGGTGGCCCTGCAGCCTTTTGTAAGAAGCGCCTCAGGTCAAGAACAATAGACTAAATTATAGAAGAGTAGAAAAATTTTAAATTAGATAACCCCATTTACAACAGCTGCCAGCTGTTTTTCTAGCTTACCCACGAACCCGCACATCCTGCTTCTCGGACCCAGGGCACCAGCCATATCCTGCCAGTTACCCCGAAATAAAGATAGCTTTTGCAGATGAAAGATCAGCCAATAGCTTTTGCAAAATAGCTCCCCAGAACGAGGGGATAAAAGCAACTTGCAACTAATACTCGGAGCTCTTGCCTGCTGCTGCGTCAGCTAAGGCTTGAGCCCGAATTCGAATTCGTGAATAAAGGCTGTAATTTAAACCCAATTAACGCTGTGGCTCTTTGTCTGGGAATTCACTCCATAACACCTTTCACCCTCTTCCCCCATCAGCCCTGTGTCACCCACGAGGGACTCACCATTCTGAGCGCTGGGACCTGGGCGGCGGGACCTGAGAGGCCGGTCCCCAAGGCTGGAGGGTGAAATGGGGTCCGGCTGCGGGGACGCTGTGAGCAGAGAGGAGTCCCGGAGGCACGGGGACCCCAATCTCGGGCTGTTGGTGCTCAAGGAGCCTCAGACACACCCCGCACAGCAGGCGCGCTGCCTCCCAGGCCGCCTCCTCCTCACGACCAGCGCCCTGAAGCCTGGGGGTCTGCGGACAAAGACCTAAAAAGTTACAATGGCCACCAGGAGGAGGAAGCCGGAAGTCCCGCGGTATCCGGAAGCACAGAAACCAAAATGCCCTTTAGCTCCGCCCACGTCGGCGCATTTCCTTCTGGGTAATGTAGTTTTCTCCACAGCCCGGGGAATACTAGCATTCCAGCCAATAACCTGGGGAATAAAGGTGTTGTGGCAGACAGAGTGATGCCTGGAGAGGGACAAGATGAGACCAGAGGCCTGGCTAACTGGAATAGACTGAGGCATCTCCAAGGTGAAGAGGGAGGGGAGCAATGCAAGGAATCCACCAAAGAATATACGGGGGGGGGGGGGGGGAATGGGAGACATCTGCAATACTATTAGCAATAAAAAATACATGTACTTAAAAAAAATTTTTTTAAATAATATAGCCCAGCTGGTGTGGCTCAATGGTTGAATCTCAAGCTATGAACCAGGAGGTCATGATTCTTTTTTTTTTTTTTTTTTTGGTTTTATTTATTTCTTAAAATTCTTTATTGTTGAAAGTATTACATATATAATTACACTAGAGGCCCGGTGCACGAAATTCGTGCACTGGGGGATGGTGTTCCCTCAGCCAAGCCTGCCCCTCAGTCCGGGAGCCCTCAGTGGATGTCCTACTGATGGCCACAGTCCAGCAGCAGAGGCAAGGAGCAGGCGTCCCGTGTGTGTGTGTGTGTGTGTGTGTGTGTGTGTGTGTGTGTGTGTCTGCTGGGGGCCTGCCCCCAGCCACACCCTGGAGGCTTGGAGCAGGCCCCTTCTCTGTTGATCTCTCAGGCTCCTGGCCTCCACTGCATGTTGTAGTCTCCCTTGAGCTCTGGCCAGGGTGGGGAGCCCTTTCCTGCTGTGGGATCTCCAGGGCGATCCCACTGGCAGGCACACAGGGGGGCTGGCTGCAGGCCACCCTTTCCTGCTCTGTGATCACTGCTGTGATCCCACAGGCCGGCCCACAGTGGGGCTGGCTGCAGGCCCCCCTTTCCTGCTGTGGGATCGCCAAGGCAACTCAGGGGCAGGTGCACACGGGGGCTGGCTAGAGGCCACCCTTTCCTGTTCCGTGATTGCTGTGGTGATCCCATGGGCAGGCTCACACGGGGGCTGGCTAGAGGCCACCCTTTCCTGCTCCGTGATCGCCACCATGATCCCACAGGCAGGCACACACGGGGGCTGGCTAGAGGCCACGCTTTCCTGCTGTGGGATCTCCGGTTGCAGATCAGGGTAGGGGCGGCCAGGGAAGAGGCAGGCGCCTGCCTCTTCCCTGCCCCCCTCCGGCTTCTCCGATCACCCGCAGGGGGGCAGGCAAAGGCGGCCGGTTCTCTGATCCAGGGCCAGGGGCAGTGCCTCCCGGCTCTTGCCTGCTGCCTGTGTTTCCAATCACCGTCCTTTCCCTATGGCCTCCCACCACTGTGCCCATGTATGCAAATTAACCACCATCTTTGTTGGCGGTTAACCGCCATCTTTCTTGGCAGTTAATTTGCATATCACCCTGATTAGCCAGTGGGAAGTGTAGCGGAGGTATGGTTAATTACCCTTTTTGTCTTTTATTAGATAGGATATGTCTCCTTTGTCCTCCATTGGCTTCTCCCCAGCCACCTCCACTCCTCAGTACATGCCCTCACCTCCCTAAAGTCTGTGTACATTGGTGCTGCTTATATGCATGCACACAAGTCCTTTGGTTGAACTCTTACCCCCCCTTCCCCCCCCCCCCACTGCCCCACCGCAACCCCCTGCCTTCCCTCTGAAGTTTGTCAGTCTGTTCAATGCTCCTATGTCTCTGAATCTCTTTTTGTTCATCAGTTTATGCCAGCCATGGGCAAACTATGGCCCGCAGGCCGGATCCGGCTCATTTGAAATGAATAAAACTATTGAAATAAAAGACCGTACCCTTTTATGTAATGATGTTTACTTTGAATTTATATTAGTTCACACAAACACTCCATCCATGCTTTTGTTCCGGCCCTCTGGTCCAGTTTAAGAACCCATTGTGGCCCTCAAGTCAAAAAGTTTGCCCACCCCTGGTTTATGCTGTTCATTATATTCTGCAAATGATGAGGTCATTGTTGTAATGTACCCTGCGAATCACAGAAGGACGCCTCAAGAAGTCGAATTAAAGAGTCATATTTATTGCAATCCAGGGCTATGAGGGGCCATTCCCCAAATCTCATAGTAACAAGGTGGTCGCAACTCCAAGGTTATATAGGCAAAAAATCACAAAGATATTGATTACATCCCAGGGTTTGGAATGAGGAACCTGGCTCACAAAAAGCAGTTTACAGAAGCAGAATTAAGCATGTTAATTATAGTTTTGGGTCTTGGGGTCACTGAATTGACAGAAATACATTATCTAGAGCCCTTGGGTCTGGAATGAGGAACCTAGTTTGCAAAAAGCAGTTTAAACAACATGTTATAAACACATTATCTAGAGCCATTGGGTAACCTGGGTTAAACTTCGGCATGTTATCTAAATTACAGTTTGGGGTCCAGAGCCCTCTGACCTTGGGATAACTGTGCTGTCCTTCCCAGGTGAAGGAAAAATGTGCTTTCTAAGACCAGTATGATCACAACCCATGGGATATTCACATTACAATCAATAAGGCATTTAATCAAATGGGATGATTTATATAATTCAGAAAATCAAAATAACCTGTCCATTGTTAAACAAAGCAAATAGGTACATAAGCCAAACATCAGGGTTAAAGTTAAACTATAATTTCCACCTGAGATGGTTGCTACCATACTTCACCATGTAATACTGGTTCTTTTCCTGGTCAGGGCACATCCATGGGTTGCAGGCTTAATTCCTAGTATGGGGCTGGGTAGGTGCAGGAGGCAGTTAATCAGTGATTTTCTCTCATGATTGATGTTTTTATCTCTCCCTTTCCCTTCCACTCTCTAAAAACAATAAAAAATATTTTTAAAAATTATAAACTTATATGTGAAAGGGCGAGGACTACGCCCTCCACCTTGCCCCAGGGTAAGGGCTACGCCCTCCACCTTACCCCAGGGTAAGAGCTACGCCCTTCACCTTGCCCCAGGGTAAGGGCTATGCCCTCCATCTTAACTTGGCCATGTGCTCAGCAAGCTTCTTCCCGGAAGATAGTCAAGGGAAGTGCACGCCATCACTATGAACGAGACACCGACTCGCGCCTGGCCAATCGGCAGGGCCCACAGTCCTTTCTCCTCCCCTTACCCCAAACCCCTATAAAACCTCTCTCCACACAGAGTTTGCTCTCTCTCGGCCACTGGAGCTTACCGTTGCATCGGTGAGTGTGGCAGGGGAGCCAAACCTAGGTTTGAAATGAATGACTCTTTGCTTTTGCATCGGACTCGCTGGCTCCCTGTGGGTTCTTGGGAATCATGAAATCTGGGCACAACATATGCACAGGCATATACAATAATGGACATATACAATAATGTGGTGAGAGCCTAGAAGCAGTGGGGCAGGGTAGAGGGAGAAAAATGGGGAAGAGTATGACAAAAATTGGGAACATCTATAATAGAGTGAACAATAAAAAAGAAGAGTGTTCACAGTTGGCGTGGCTCCGTGTTTGGGTGTAGACCCATGAACCAAAATATCGCTGTTTCAATTCCAGGTCAACACACATGCCCAGGTTGGGGGCCCCATCCCAGTAGGGGGAATTCTGGAGGCAGCTGGTCAATGACTCTCTCTCATCATTGATGTTTCTTCCTCTCCCTTTTTCTCTAAAAAATCAAGAAAGACATTTAAAAAAATGAATAGTGTTATGATTGATTTGACTCAACAAAAGCAAAGTGAGTGTGGGTCATGGCATTTTCTTCCAAGTCTTGTAAGCAAATTCATGCCTTTCTCTGTCTTTATATAGGATGTCCCAGGCATAAATGTGTTGTGGAACAGGAAGAAGCCTGCAGTGGGTCTGCCTCAGGTTGGCCTGCAATGTTTGAGTTCTTTTTTTTTTTTTTTTTTTTTTTTTTTTTTTTTTTAATGTTTGAGTTCTTGACTTCATGCAGAAAAAATTTCACAAAACAAGTTCAGAGATTTTGAGAGAATATTTATTAAAGCTGGGCATGATGAAGAAAAACTAGGCCTTAGGATGGAACAAGGAACAGCAGAGAGACCAGATGAGGGTCCTTTGGCTCCTAGAAACATTGTGGGAAATAAATGAGCCAAATGGGGGCGCTGTTGTAAGCTCACTGGAGAATCAGAGAAAAGAAGGCCTTGAGCGTCAGTTCAGGGGTTATCTCACGATGAGCTGTCGCTGCTCATTGCTGCCCCAGTTGCAGGCTGAGTGGGATAACCGGGCTGGTGTGGTTCAATGGTTGAGAAGAAGAAGAAGCCCCCAGAAGTAGAAGCCGCCCACCTTTGGTCCAGGCGCCAGCGCCTGGGGCTGGCTGCAGCCCAGGAGATGGATAAGCTGCCGGCCAGAGGTCCCAGGCTGCAGCCACCCGGAGAGCTGCCAGCCCTGTGGTCCAGGGCACCAGCGCCTGTGGCCAGGGAAACAAGTTCCCTCTTCTCCTACTGCAGTCATTACTTCAATATTCCCCTTCTGAATTTCTCTCCTGTGCTGCAACCCAACTCCACTTTTCTTCGGAAGGATACGGAACAGAGAGAGCAGTGTTAAAAGCTTACATTTTTAAGCCAGTAAGGTTGGTACTTAAACATATAAATGGAAAACTAGAGTCCTTAAGGTAACAAAGGCTACAAAGGACAGGGACAGTGCATGACCTATTATATCCAGCAATCCATACGGGGACTGAAAACTTTGCAATGATGACAATTAGTGAAGATATGAATCAATTAAAATAGTTGACAGGGACAATTCTTCCATCTTTGAAAATATCTACATCAAATCTGTTTAAATAGATGTTCATCTGCATAATAT